TGTTACAGGTACTGATCCTAACTGATCGATAGATAGCTGTTGCCATAGTACCAGTTTCAAGGACTTATCTTGTGTTTGCACTGCCTAATACCAGTTTGCATTCCTTCGTGTAACTCTAGCATTGCACAGATGCCTGTATACACTGATGTAACATAGGTGGTTTTCCAAATTTCTGCCGTCAGTAGGTTTTGAACTCTTAACCTACCACTTGGAGGATTAACAACTTATTCACTTTACTAAGTTGCCACATCTTCAGAAACATAAAATTAAATTTAGTTATCTTAAGAAAAGATATAAACAATTTAGAATAGTTATTTTAACAAAGATTCAGATATATTGAAATAGTTATTCTAACAAAGACTTAGATATATTGGAATAGTTATTCTGGCAAAAATTCATATATATTAGAATAGTTATTCTAGTATAGATCTAGATATATATTGAGTTATCTTAGCAAAGTTATGAATATATAGATCATAATTCCCTATAAACCAAGATGTAGATATAAGGAATTATAAAACATTATTTTGGAATAATTAAAGAATACTTTAAGAATCAAAAATATAGATGTAAAAATTTAACCCAAAGCATAACAAGTTTATATCTTAATATCTCAAGTAAGAAGATTTATTTACTAATAAAAATTATTAATGAAAACAAGAATTTAGAATAGAAATATTAAAATAAATACAAAAAAGAATATACAAAAATAATTTTTAAATACTTTTTGTTTTTTATCAATATCCTATGAGTTTTAATTGTAAAAAGATAATTTATATGTTATTTTATTTGCAGAAACTTACTCTATATTTTTATTATACAATAGTTTAGTAAAAAATGCTTATCTGATCTACAAATTAGCTCTGAAACCATAATACTATTTTTCAATATCTATAAAAATAATCTTCAAAGAAGTTCTAAGAAGAAAAAAAACATATTTAATATTTTTTAAAATTATAATAAAATAATATCTATTAAATCAAAATTGAAAATTTAATAATTGTTAAAACCAGAAGGATCTTTTTTACAACTTTATTTAATAACCCAAGTCATAAATATATAGTATAAAAAGACTTTAAAACTATCTTTTCTAGAAATATACTTTTAAAAACAATTTTTTTTTACTGTGCCACATAGATGAAAAAATTTTGAAATTTTTTTTAATTGAATTAGACTATCTAATCTTTAAAGTTCTTATCTCTTTTAGGTTCTATAATAATTTTTGATACTAAAAGAGATTACTTTTAGATATATATATATAACAATTATTTTATTATATTTTATTCTTTTATTAGTTATATTCTTCTCTTTCTTACAAAATAATATAAAGTGATTACTGTATTCATAAATAGTACTTTGGCAAGTATTAGCTTTATATTATTAAAATTTAAAAGTTATATATAGCTGTTAACAGTCTGATTATTAAGGCTTTTCTTTCTTGGTTATACTTTACAGATATTTCTAAGTCTAAAAGTCTAATAATTCTTATACAGAATAAATATTTATTATGTCTAATCTACACATATTAGATAGTAGAATTTAGTGTAAAAGCTGGTTCTATTGTTGTACCTTATAGTATCTAGGAGTCTATTAAATTTAAATTTCTTAAACATTTATTTATTTTATTTTCTTTATTAACAAAACTAAAACTTTTATTTCTTTTTATATTTAAAATAGTTTATTATACAAATTATATAAAATTTTAAATTTTTATTAGACAATTAAATTATTTTAATAATCTCTAAAAGAAGTACAAAATTTGAAATTTAGTAATCATTCCAATATGGATTAATAGTCTATTTTGTATTACCAGACAGTACAGGTCATATGTTCAAGACTAACTAAAGTGAGCTTTCTGTCAAAGACCCAAACATTGTAAGATTCTTGGTTAAAATACTAAAAATCTTCATTTTATTTTTCTTCAAGCTATTATATATTTTTTATTATTATAATATTATATTTATATTTATTTAAAAAACTTTAAAACTTTATATTTTATTATTATTATAAAAACAAAAATAAAAAAATAATAATAACAAAACAATACAAATCTATAATTCAACGCTTGACAATCTATCTCTACTACTATTATCTTTATTTCTTCTTTCTTCTTTTCATAATCTTTTTAATTCTTCTTTACAATTCTTTAATCTGGCTCTTAACTTATTTCTTTTTTTCAACAATCTTGCATACTATTGCTTTAACATCTATTTATTTTGCATTTTTAATATTACATTCAATCTACATTTTTCTAACTTCTCTTCTAAACTTTGAATTTTTCTTCTCTGAAAGGTCATCAAACAAAGTAAACAGTAACATTAGAAAAAACCCTAGTGACCTTGTATATATTATTATATTGAAATTAATATTAGAAAATATTACACTATAACTTTAAAAAATCTATAAAAGGAAATAATATTCTTGTTTCCTAAATTTAAAAATAATGTAATCGATTATTAAATTAAACAATATTTTTTGTGATAAAACAAAAACTATTGCATATTTAATTGAAACAAACATTATTAAAATTCCTAAAAAATGTTCATTATGTCAATCAAAAATTTATCTTCACAATATAATTTTATTTTGTAAAAATAAAACTTGTTATAAAAATGTTTCGATTTTTAAAAATACTATTTTTTTTAATTTAAATTTAATTTCATCACATATTCTTTTAATTGAATACTTTTTTATTAATCGAATTAAAACAACAACATTAATTAATCTTACTAGTTTTATAGCTAAAACAGTAATCAAATTTGTAAAATTATTTCAAAATAAAATTATCAATTCTTTAACAGAAAATGACTTTTTGTTAGGTGGTGATCATGAAATAATTGAAATTGATGAAAGTAAATTTGAAGATTTCTGGATTGTTAGAATGATTCAACATACAAAAAATATAAAAAATAAAGCAAAAATTAATTCTATTCAAAAATGCTATTTTGAAATTGTAGAAAATAGAAATACTGAAACAATACATAGAATTATTAAAAAACATATTAAAAAAGAATCAAATGTATATACTGACAGCTGGAAAAGTTATTGTAGTCTTGAAAAATATGGAATAAAACATAAACAAGTAAATCATAGTAAAAAAATATTAAATTATTAAAACAAAAAATTCATAGTAATACAATCAAATCAGTTTGGAATGCTCTTAAACTTAATTTACCTAGACAAAATCAAAACAAAAAATTTATTCAAAAATATTTATTAAAATATATAGTATCAAAAACATAAAAATAATACTTGGAAAGCTTTTATTGATTGTTTAAAATAACTAATCAAACTTTATAACCATTCTTATTTCCTGTAATTCTATTATGAGCTAATTTAAATTTTATTGCTAGTTGTTTTGCTTGTTCATTAGTTCTATTTTTTGTAATATAAAATCTTTTTTGGTTTTGTTTATTATTTTTATACTATCGAAAATACCAAGCTTTTTTTTTATTAAATTTATAAAAAACAATTCCATTATATCCAGATATATTCATATTAAAAAGTTTACGATTTAAACAATTTTATTGTGATGTTGTTTCTTGTAAATTAGATTTATAATTGTCCATTCCAATTCTGTTTATATGATCTATCATATTCCATTCTGGATGAATCATTCGATAAAATTTAATAAGTTTGTTTTTTTCTTTATTATGTATTTGAATATAAAAAGTATTATCATTTTTTCTTTTCCAATAATACCATGTATATTTTATAATTAAATCAAAATTATCAAAATCAGTTAAGAATGTGATATCTGGAGTTTGTGTCATAACTTCATTGAATAATGTTGCATCAATTTCCACTAATTGATAACTGTTTGATTTTCTTCGAGGTTTGATAACTGGCAACTTGGTCCAAGCTAACAAAACTTCAAATGAATCAAATATTTTCTTCCAAGGCGATTTTTTAGTTTCTTCCTCAAGTGAATACATTTTTAAATTTCTAATTATAGGACTTTCATTAAATTTATACAATTTCTATTTCTCTGAGTCAGATTCATAAAAAAAATTTCATCAATAATATTTTTTAAATTTATCAAAATCTTTATTTAAAATTATTACAAAAAAAAAATACAATTCAAAAAAAAATAAAATGGTTTATTCAGTCATTAAATTTTAAAATTTAATGTGCAGTTCTGCTACGAGCAAACTTGAATCATGGAACCAAAAAAAAGAATGAAGAGCCAAGATTTCAGAGGAGATTGTATGTTGGACCCCAAGCCATAATGACACAAAGATAGTAAATTTCAAAAGAAATTACTATCACAACCTTTCTTTACGCTCATCCATTTTTGAAAAAATAAAAATAACCCAGGTATCACTTATTCAAGTGAGCAGCCTTGGCATACCAGGAGTCCTTGTAAGTGTAGCTTACAAGTTTTTGTTTGAAATTCTTTTTTGTGTTTTTAAGACTAATGAAAAAATTAATAAAAAAACAACCAAGCCAAGCTTTCATGCTACAATTTTCATTTAATAGAGAGAAATCTATTTGGTTAAATTGTACTAAAAGCCATTCAAAACAATTGACAAGTTCACTCTTCTCTATTATATCATTAAAAATTTTATGCATGAATTAGTAGGAATTCTTTAGAATAGTTTAAACTACTAAAATTTAGTAGGGATTCTCTAGAATAGTTTAAACTACTAATCAGAGGCTCTAGTTAATGAAATGTGCAGTTATTGAAAAATGAAACAAGTGAAGTGAAAATTTTTTGTAGATCAACAGTTTATATAAATGATTATCATGCCAAATATAGATTACTATTAAAAAATTATATGATTATCATTTACTAAAAATAATTCTTATTGATACTTTTGATTCAATCACATTAATTAATATTAGAAATGATTTTCGAATTCGAATGTTCTATATATGTAATAAATTTTTAAACATAATTTAAAAGTACAAATAAAATTAAATAGTTACAAATTTATTCTGATTTGATTGTTTATATTACACTTACAATTTTGTACCTATTGAAAAATTTTGCTACAAACATGTCTACATTATCTGGTAAGAATAACCAACAAGAAATTTATGAAGACTTGCCTTCTTCTTATAATGAATTACAAGCATCAGGTATTTAAACATTAACTTTTCTTCAAAAATTAGTGTAAATATTTTATAAAAAACAAAATTTTATACAAAAAATTTCAACAACAATTATAACAAAATGACAACTTTCATTCCAACAGCAGTTGTTCCAGTAATCGAACAAATTGAAACGATTACTGAAGAAATTATTGCTTCTTCTGAAGGTATAATTTATAAATTATTTATTAAAAAATTTAATATTATTAAATA